AAGTAATTTAATAAATAATATTATAATTAGTAATTAAATAATTTAATAATTAAGCTAATTTCTAATTTAATTATTTATTATTATGATTTGTTAACTATAATTAAAAATAAAAATAATAAGTAATTTATACTTAATATGTTATTAAATTCATTACACATTAATTTTTAATTTTTAATTAACTACTTCACATTTAAATCTATATTTGTCATAAATCGTCAGATATGTCATCAAACAGTTTCTCATTATTTAACAAAATTGAACATTTATCATTCCTAACAGTTTTCAGGATTTAACACCATTAGGATTTACTAAATTCGGATTTACTGATTTTACTAAATCCCACTTGTTGTCAAATAGCCCCTAAATTACCTCTTTCATCTTATTTATGGATTTAGGGACTATTGAATTTTCGAGATTGCGAAGCGAGCTAGCTCCCATCTTGATGGAATGAGGAGGTGAAGATATTGGTGGCTTACACAGTAAGTGAGCTCCCGTCGAGACTTATGATCTAACACCTTCGAAGAGGTGAAGCAGGGAGAAAGCTATGGTTGTGTGAATCATGTACAGCACAAGCAGCCGAAGCAACCATGAAGAAATGGCGATTAGGAAAAGAGAAGAAGCAAAAGAAAACCCTAGACATCTTATTTATTAATAGAATTTAAGTATTAATAATTAATTAGATTAATTATATAATTAGTAGTGTAATTAAGTACTATAAGTTAGCTTAATTATAGTTAATAATATTATAATTGTCATTAAATTAGATTAATACTTAAATAATTAATGACATCATTAATATGAGTACTAGTAAATAATTTATAATTTTAAAAAATAACTGACTAATTAATTGAGATTTAAGAATACAATTAAATAATTAGTAATATAATAAGAAATTTGATAATTAACACCTAAATAATATATTTGATAATTAATAATAATTAAGCTAGTTTCAAATTATATTATTTATCATTATAATTTATTAAAGGTAATTAAATTTAAATTTAATAAATAAGTCAATGTTAACACTCAAAGAAAATTCAATTTAATTTCTAAATAAACCAACTCCCTTAAATCCTAAATTACGCTA